ATTGATTCGTTCATATGAGACGACGATCCAACATCGCTCATTCACCCATCGTTTAGTGTGAGCTCTCATCGCTATGTAAACAGCATTTTTGTAAGTTCAACGAAATACGAGATATGATGAGAGTTGCCGTGTACTGCCTTATTGATCAACTTTCAATCGGTTCTCTTCTGCACGGAACAGCGAACAACAACAAACACTCTAGGGATCAGAAACTGGCAGAATTAACTTCCTGCAATACTAAATTGAAATGTTTTCGCCGCCGCAAAAGGATCCTATAAAATAACATTTGAGTGAATTCCTCCTACTTTTCATAAGTTTCTACTGAATTCTTAAAGCTCAACACTATTACATAGAATGTTTTCGTTTGCTGTTCTGTGTCGTTGTTGCACTCATGAATGCCTCTATACTACACGAAGACTATTTATATCAAATTCACTTGGAAATCTGAAACGTTAAAGCCAAAAGCGAAAATAAATGAATGCTTACAACGGAGATCTTTTTAAGATGAGATTTAGCATAGCTCAAAGGTAGAAAAATTTTGAAACAACATGACATTACAGTCGTGATATCGTACGGTTTCCACTATTAGATAATATACTGACAAGTAATTCATTGTCTGACTCTATATTAACTCAAAGCAGCTAACTGTTATAAATGATATGAGGTACTAGCCAAATCAGTTCAAGTAACAATACCTATCTAGAGTTGTGTGCATGCGTGAACTAATAACTGAATGAGGATTGAATACTTAATAACTGATCCCTTACTTCAACTTAAAAACATCGAATCCTCCCGATCCACCTCTCCAACCCATCACTAACCAGCCTCAACCGTAAATTAACCTTCCTTGTTTCCCTCCTATCCCGAAGAACCGAAAATCCGATGTTTGAAAAGTATCTCCAAAGATCAAATGGATTTGCTTAAAAACTAAAATGTCAAATTGATAATAGTATTGTGTGTGGAATATTAATAATGATAATAACAAAGATTATCGATCATAAAAACGCATGAGTTTGTTGTGTATGATGGAATTTAGTGCACGAAAAGCGCTCGAGAATCGAATGGACGTGGATCACGACCGTTGTATGGAGCTGGAACAAAAACTTCGTGAAGCACAATCGTTGCTCACTGAAACCGAAACTAAATCCGATGAGGTGTGTGCCATCGACACTAATCTTCTCTCTGTGTTCAATAACGCTATTTTACCGGTTGATGGCCAGATTTTTGGTGTGATTCCTCCGATATTAGATATCCACTGAAATGCTTGTGAATTGTGCTTTGACACTGTTTCGTCACGTTGCTACGGTGCAATTTCTTCAGTAGCAACAAGCAATACCAATTTTTTCGCTTCCTTCATTTAAAGCTACCGTTGACACCTACGTTCACCTCTCCATGATCGAAACCTCTTATTCAATCCC